GTGGAAAAAATTTCGTGTCGTATGTTCAGGGAATTGTTTTTTAAAATAGAAAACGCCGAAAATATTATTTTCCAATGAAAAGTATGAACGGTAAGCCTGTCGTCGAAGAAAGCCTACCGCTTTTGATCAACTGGTTGTAGCGTCCAGTTTGATCTTGGGTGTCAAAGTCAGGAAGGCGCATAAGATACAGAACAGAAAAGAATATGCAAAGGAAGAAGGGATGAGGTAAGACGTTTCAGTCCATTAAGTCATATACGTCTTAGCTCAACACTCCGACTTGGCCTCGTCAGTATGACGGTCGTGGTGTTCAGAGATGAAAAAGAAAAGGAAGGAGTGGAAGGGAGAAAGAAAGAAAAAAAGAAAAAGAAGAGTAAGAAGATGGGGAAGAGATTTTTTAATTATATTAAATTTAGAACAATTGAAAAGGATTAAGAGGTTGTAACCTCGATGAATGCTCTGTGGCCCGTGTGGTTATTGGGGGCAACATCCTCGCCTTTGCTTTTGGTTCATTTTTTATTCGACATAGCTGGAAAGTATTACTTTGGTAACAAGAGGAGGAAGTAGCGATAAGAACAGAATGTTAACAACGCGACGTATACGTACATGTTCGGTGTTATAATTACTGTAGAAGAGCGTGTATCAGATGTCGACAGAGGACTGCTGTAGGAGGGAAATACTTAGAAAACTGGTATTTATTTCTATGTACAAATGTGTGGACTAGCCGATTAATATTGTGAGAAGAAAGCCCTTTATGCGAGTAGTGGAGGAGAAGGCGACGAGCGGAAGCGATAAATCCTTGATAAGTGGATTCGATAACTAATTATCCAGTGAACTGACTGTAAACAACACCGTTGTGGGCGGAGGGGTGTAAGTTGCTGCGAAGGGAGGAGTATTTAATTACAGCGAAGGTAAAAAAATCGGTCTTGCAGTAAAGTGAAGAAACAATGCGAGCACTGCTGTCTATGGAAAGGGTCAAGTCTAAGTAATTGCCGGCGGTACCTGAACCTGTATAGTCTATGTCTAGATCCTGGCCATATATGCTTAGGCGAAGGGAAAGAAAGTCCGAGCAGTTATGGACTAAAATATCATCGACATAACGACAGAGGAGAAGCGGAGGACTAGTAGGAAGCCTGCTGTATTTATATTCAAGTACCGACAAAGTGAAGTCAGCAATGTCAGAACTAGCATTGCCACCCATGATACAGTAGCCAGTAGCCTAGAACTTTTGGATATCTGCTTTGCAAACGCGATCGAAGGGAAGGACAATTTGAAGGCCTTGATGTTTTTATCTGAATAATCCATCTAGCAGTAGGTTCATTTTCTGCAAATCAGAAAAATAATATAAACTTTTTGACTAGAAGGTGAGAGTAATGACTGTTAGCAGTGGCGGAACTGAAATCTCGTTTGTCTTCGATGAGGTCGTATTTAGCCAG